GCCCGGTGCCGCCGGCCGCCAGCCACTGGGCTGCACCGTACTCCACCTGTCCCCCTGCGCCTGCCCTCCTGGGTTGCGCTGTGCCCTTGTGCAGGCAGCTGGTGTTGGCTGCTGCAGCAGGGGCTGGGGTGAATGGGAACAAGCAGAGCCCCAGGCAGCATGGGGCGTGGTGCAGCTTGTCTGCACTCACCCTAACCTCTGCTTCAGTGGGCCCAGGAGCAGCCGGCAGCAGCTGCAGAGGGAACCATTGGGGGGGCGGGGGGGCAGGAGGTGCACTTCTTGCTGCTCCGCATGCCCGCGGGAGGGCTGCGGGCTGTGGGGCTATGTTGGGCTCTTCCCAGGGGGTGCATGCCCCTGGATCTGTGCATGGGACAATAGCAGGCTGCCGCTGCAGGCTGGGGCCAGTGGCGCTTGGGGTGGTCCGCAGGGGGACAGGCGGAGTACGGTACAGCCCAGCAGCTGCAGGTAGTTGACACTAGCCGCCCCCAGGGCCACTGCAGCAGGTGCTGGGGTGAGTGCCGCTCTGTTCCCTCTGCTTTGTGCAAGCCCCGGAGCTGCACCCCTCCCCCCTGCCCCTTCCCTAGTCCAAGCCTCACTCGCTCCCTCCCTTACTGCCATGGGAACCTATCCCTATTTATTACATTATAAAGTGAATTTGATTTATGCGCCTTTCTCCAGAAATGAATGTAGCGCATAAATAGAGGGAAACCTGTATCTGTTTTTATAACATGACACTATACATTGTTGCCCATAACATGTGGAAAGGAAATCTTGGCCACTAAAGCATGGATTGGAAAGGCATTTTTGTGAAATTGTGGCATGTGCTGGAAGAAGAGTATGATGTCAGATGCATACACATGCAGAGACACACGCATGCTTGCACACTAATTAGCTTTTTATTTTATAAAATATAAAAAGCACACTAGCTCTTGTCTATCACCCAGTTCTTCAGAGAATTGTTGCTTATCATCACTGAATAAATAGTACAAATAAGCTTGAATGCAGTGTGCTATAGCAGTACTCTGAAATAATTTAACTGTTTATCGGGGGTCTTCTCTATTCTCTCATAAGTTAACGTTGGGTGCTGTTTAATTTTCTTCTGTTTTGTGCCTGGTTCTAATTTATGGAAATAGTTTGTGCAGAAGTTTCAAAGATGCTAACAGCTTTGTTTTCCTTTATGTATCTGCTGATACCTTATTGATAAATAGAATGTACAATGTAAAAATAACAGAAACTCAATGTTCTCATGAACTAAAAGTCTTTGGTGGTTATGCGTAGTTGATGATCATATTTTGATTGTCTCTGCTGTACTATTTAACCTTATAAAATTCTAAGCAACTTTAGACATTTTTTTAAAAAAGAGTATCATGGCACTATTACAGTAGAGTTATCAGATTTATTCGTTTAATTTGGGAGAACGTTCTGAATGTAGCTGAGAATGAAGTAAAATAAACCAGAAAAATATTTCTTGTGCTGTCAACTGTGAATATACTTAAGTGTTGGATAAAAAGGAAAATGAATACCAGCTGACTCTTCCATTTTTCATTAAATAATGCATATCTTCTATCTATGGTAAGCCTCATATTTTAGAATAATTGAGAAGAATACTTTAATAATTAAAGAAATCACAATACCAAAGCAATTCTTGTCATGTTCATTGTAGATGAATATCTCCTGCTGGGAAAATCTGTCTTGATCTTAGAGATGAGATTTTAATTCATTATTGCAAACTTTTCTTTAATCCTAGAATAATAGAGAAGTAGGGCTGGAAGGGACCTCCACAGGTCATCTAGTCTGATCCCTCCCTGAGGCGGAATCATCCCCATCTACACCAGCCTATGCAATGAATAATTTACCCTCAACCCTGACAACACAGACCTAGCACCCTAACCTGACACAGGTAAAGCAGGGGAACCATATCAGCCAACATCCTGATTCTGTGAACTGTTGCCAACGGGCTATGTCTTTCACTACAGGTTTCCCTCGCTTTATGCTGTACATGTGTTCCCGGAAAACAGCATGCAACTCAAATTCACATAAAGGGAACCCACTGGGGATTGTACTGTACTGACCCCCAGACCCATTTCTACCACTTTTACAAGACAATTTTGGTACTCACCAGCAGCAGCACAGGGCACTATCATAATGGGGATGACAACTACAGAAACACGTTTCAGATAACAAGCAAAGAGCACAGATCCACACAGGAGACTGTATTTTGGTGTGTGTCACTCCCACAATGCACTGCATAAAGCAGCTAACTGCAGGCTTCCACCACACCAATCGCATAAGAGTGAATTTACCTAGCATATAAGGGCAGACATGGTTCTTTGGGTGAATCTGATATATTTTACTAGACCAACTTAAATAGTAGGAAAAAATTTTTTAGCAAGCTTTTG